GCAGTGATGATTACATACCTGCCCCTGTCCCCCATGCCACGGAAGCACACACCTATTTGTCTCTTTCCCCCTTTAGTTTACTCTAGTTTCTTGCATTTGGGCTTACTCTTTTCTAGAATCATGTCGAAGGAAGGAAAACAGCAAGCCGTAAGTGGCTCCCTGTACTTGACAGATAGCTGCTTAAAAACAGTTTACGAACTTGTGACCACGAAAGACTTAATTTGTGCTTGTTTTCAGTGGGTTTGCTTTTCCCTTGCAGTGTTTTACATGCTCTACCTGCCGGAATCGCCTGGTCCCGGGAGATCGGTTTCACTACATCAATGGCAGTTTATTTTGTGAACACGATAGACCTACAGCTCTCATCAATGGCCATTTGAATTCACTTCAGAGCAATCCACTACTGCCAGACCAGAAGGTGAATACCTCGCAGTTACTAATAAGCTCTGTTAGAGCAAGTTGGAAGGTTCAACCTAGGTCCATCTAGTGAGGGAGTTTCCTAGGTGGTTGTGTTTTTGCATGTCCTTTTAAAGAAATGTAGGTTACTCATACATACATGTTCAGAAAGAGAAGAGTTGATTGATTAAATTGTGAATCTTCCATGGTTAAAAAAAAAATCCTGATTTAGTTACAGCTGTAGCTTTACCAGTGTTGAACGTGTTATCTCATGCAGAGTCAGGCAAAATGTAAAACTTCCCTATAACCAGTTCTTTAGCACACTAGACAGTTTTGAAATTCAGAAATACCAGGTGACTAGGTTATTGTGGAGAGAAAATTAGAACATTTATGGTAAGAAGAGGGAATAAATGTCTTTGTCATGAAAGAATGGTTTCTTCATTAGTAATAGCAATTCGGATAACTGCCTTCCACACCCAGTTTACAGTGCTTTGAATTTTAGAGGAGCAGTTTTATGAAACATTCTGGAATTCCAAGGGAGAGCATTTTGGTTGATTCACAAGTCCTATAAGATTTAAATAAGTTACAACTTTTTTTTTTTTTAAGTTCTAGCTCTTGCTGATCACTTTGGGCCATAGATAGCTCCTATTATTAAAGATTATGTGTTTTGATTCTTATCCACAGCAGGAGAGTTTTGGGACCAGAGTTAGAAATGAGGAAATTATATACAGATGTACAAATCATGTAGTATTAGAGGGCACTTCAGAGGGAAAATCGGGTGTTCAACAGTTGTCCAGCACCTCCAGTACTGGATAGTTTTAGATCTATTTTAATCTCCTTAATAAGTCCTATAGCTATGCAAGTGAGTGCATTTTGATAACTGCTGTGCCTAATTTGTAACAATTACTGTCAACCTTCAGTTAAGAGACTGTTCATTCCACACTGGCCCAGAAAAGAGTGAAATGTATGACTTGTGCGCATAATTTTATTCACATCATATTTCATACTGATTATGTATTGATGACATTGATTCATTTACTCTTTACAGCGCCACTTGCATGGATATTAAATCTTATTGACCACAGATGAATTTTAATTTCAGATTGGTGATAGATTTTTCCATCAGCTCTGATAGTATGTTTGACTTTTTCATCATTAACCCAGGCAATCACACAGCACTGAGTTATTGCATTGAAACAAAAAGTGCACACTTCACTTGGTAATTCTTTATGGATTTACAATAGGAACTTCATTAATGTCTATTGTGGGGATCACAAAAAACAACATTTATCTGCAAATAGGAATTTAGCAAGCTTCAAAAAGGAAAAAATATTAGGCTTCTTTGTCTTCCGTAATGCATTTTCTTAATGTTGTGTATAGGGAAAATGACTAATATTTGAAAACTATTTAAAATTATACTGCCATATTTTAATACTTATTTTTATCGTTTTCTCTTATTCAAGTTTATGGAGTGATTTTAAATGTATTTTCCATTGCATTATTAGGTAAAGGTTAATTGCATCAAAGTATGTATAGTTTTCCTTATTTAGTTTACTAATATGGAAAGCTACCTAGAATACTATTGCAAGAATGGAAGTCTAATTTTTTATTGCAAATTAATCAGTCACCATCAATGAGCCATTTCAAGCTTCTTTAAGAAGTGCCGATACATATAAATGCTTACAGATATTTATGCTTTCAGTTGTAGTTAAGTGAATCTATAGGGCACAGTTGAGGACAATAATGAGGACAGTAGCAAATATCTTGAGTTATCATTTAAGTTTGGAGGCAAAGCCATTGGTAGTTATACTTGGTAGCCCCCCCCCCCCGCCCGCCAAAAAAAAGAAGTACAAGAATAAAACCTACCACCTCCGATATAAAATCATAGTTTTCTACAGATTATATCTTAAGTTTGTTGCTGGTGTTATGGGATTTCTTTCCCTGATTTAGCAAGGCATAAAAAAATGATAGAGCTACCAACGTGCATGATGAAAATGGGAGGCTATAGAGACGAGGTGGAAAATGTTGCCACCCTGAGCAGCACTGAATACAGGACACAGCATTGTTAGCCTGGGACTAATGCACAGACACGTAGTAAGTCTGAGCATGGTCTCACAGTACCGTCTTACTGAGTACAAGATGACGGAAGTTGGGAGGTGTGAGGGAGGAAAATCGGGAAGAAGGTCTGGTTTACGTGTTGACAGCGTTGCATGTATTGTACCTTTCATATAAGTCTATACCTTCTGCAGGGTGGGAGAGGTAGGACATTGATTTTGGAATATAAGATATATTAGGCAATGAATAAGAGACTTAACAGTGTGTATTTTCTTAATGTTGGAAGCCAAAAGGAGACAGGTGGCCTTGAAAAATTAATAGCTTTTAAAAGGCATAAGGAAATATAACTTAAGGAGGTGTTCTTATGAAACACTGGTGAGAAGCTGTGTTTTGGGGTTGATGTTAATTAAGAACATACCCCCGTTGGCCTAAATGTCTCACATTTTTTGCCCTTGGTGTTAGGCTCACCATGAGCCGGGTCAATTCACAAGGCAATTTTTGTAAATAAAGGTTTGGGATAAGCTGAACGTGGTCCAGAGAGACATTAACAAGAGGGCACGGGGGAAGAGATAATGAAAACACTGCCTGGTGGAACATAAACTACTTTTTGGACTTAGAGAAGGCTTTAAAATGATTTTTCCCAAAACCCTCTGGCACTTCTTTTCTGGAGGAGATGGGATGGGGAGAAATGACAAATAGCTCCATTTTATTATTTTCTTCTCTCTAGTTCTCCATATTTTTGGTAGGGAAAATTGGACATTAATTTTGGCCGTTTTCCTTCTGTTCGCAGAACCAATTACGTTTTTAGTGCATGATGCATAATAAATTTACTCAGGCATCCTCTGGCTGAAAAGTAATGAGTTGATTATTTGTACATCCCTTCTTTAAAGGCAGCTAATTGTATGGAAAGTATAGGCCCCCATCATCTGCCCCCTTTCAACTTTTATCCTCCTGAAATTTGTTCCCAGTGTCTGGGATGTATAGTTTAGTTGTTGTTTTGCATCACTGGCTTTTGTATATTCTGAGAAAAAATGATTTTGAGCTTTCAAGTCATATAATCTCTTGACTAAAATCTCAGACCACTAGTGTTCCAGGATCTACAAAATCTTACAGCCTGTTTCGTCTAAAGGAGACTTGGCTCCCCTCAGGAGAATAATACCTTGTAGAGAGCTGTGTACATAGAATCAAGAATTGTGGCAGTGGCAATTTTTTTGTTTTGTTTGTGATAAATTTTGCCTGCTCTGGAATTCTTTCGTCCACTCAGGAGTGATTATTCCGTCTAGAATAATCTGTGCTTTTCAGTAAAATAAGAGATTACATCTCCTTGGTTGGAAGAAAATTTAGTGAGAGTTATAGTTTGCATACCACTTCACAATTCACCCGTAGTAGTTATATAATTGGTGTTGTGTGTGTGTCCATCGTAGAGGACATTTGATGCTCATTTATTAAATATGCTCGCTGGCTGCTGCCGCATCTTTGTTCTGGACAGACAAATTACCTTTCTCACACTGAGCCTCTACTCTGGGGAATTAAGCCTCCACCACTTTAATTAGCTTGGAAGTAGGGGGTTGCAGCTCCTAATAGACTTCAGGCTTTTAGTAAGTTAGGGAAAGGGTGAAACGAGAACTTCCTGGGAAGCTCAAAATGTCATTTAAAAACCATAAAAACCTAATATATATTATTTCATTGCAGTAATTGCAAACAGATTGTATTTGACGACTGTGTGGAGTATCATTTCTAACTTAAACATTAAAGTTAGACTTCCATGGAACTACGTTCTATAATTGAGCACGTCATGAACACATTATATAAGTTTGATTCATATATTTACAATATTTATGTAATATTAAGTGGCATAGCAGATAGGAAATACTAAGGGAAGAGTAGCATCTGAATATTTGTGTGTGTGTGTATGTACACACATGCATATACACACATACTTATAGGTGGAGAAGGATATGGTGAATAGACATCACATGGGGATATTAAAATAATAATGATAATTGATAATATTTGTTTAGCTTTTATTAAGTGCCAGGCACCGCTGAATGTACTCCCCATATATTACATAATCCTTACTACAGTCTTATTATCCCCACTTGAAGGATGAGGAAACCGAAACATAGACAGTTAAGTAACTTGCAAAAGGTTACACAGCTGTAAATATTAACACAAAACTTCCTGCAGAGAAGGGACTTGCCTTTAAGATCCACGTACAAGGCAAGATGTTATAATTCATTCTTTTCAGAAAGAAACTTGCTTTTACAGAGTTCAGTAATTCACTGTAGAACTTTACATCAGAAACTTTCTAATAGTCCATTTATTGTCTCATTTTCTCCACTAGTAAAAGTGCAGAAAATGTTATGCTTTAGTTCTTCACTGCTGGGGTAAGTAGCGTAGAAAGCCTCTATCAAGTCACAGTTGGGAAGTAATCTAATAAAAGAAGATTAGTGAATGTAGGGAAGACAAAAGCAGTCATGTTTGAGTTTAATATCTCTCAAATTTAGCATTTTAGCTAAGATGCCCGTTTTTATTTCTTGCAGGTCTGCTAAAAGGTCAGAGTAATGCAGAATGCGTGCCTTCATCTCAGATCTTGTTCATCACAGGTGGATCCCATGTGTCTTCAGTAGACAAGTCACCTTTATAGCTAGCACCAGTGCCAGCTCCATGCCATTGCACCTTCTTTAGTCTTGATTGCTCTTCCCGCATTTATTGGTGTATTAAAATGACTGAATATGAACATTAAGGACTCCATGAACCTGGGCTAATGGGAGACTGTAGAGAAAATGAAAAAAGATCCACCGGAGGACATCTTTGGGGGGGGAGGGAGCTTGGGAGGAGGGAAATGACTAATGAAGCTAATTAAAAGAAGCATTCAAATCTGCTTTCTACCCTCATTAACAATTAGCAGGGCACTGGCCAGAGTTTGTACCCTGTGTTTTACCTTAACAACATTCTATTTGCTCTTTGTATATTTAAGTGTTGTAAGGAAATGTGTTTCAATCAAAACTGAACATGAGATAAAGGAAAGAGATGTGGCTTTTGTGATATTCTATCACAAACACTTTTATTGTATCTCTGTAAAATACATTGTATGTATGCATGTAAGTGTTTTTGTCCTAATGTTGCTACTCCCATGGCAAAGACAAAAAAAAGAGTGAAAAAAAGAAAAAAAATTGGAAAAAAAAAATCAAGCTCATAGCAGCTACTGTGTAGAAATTCCCCCCTACTTCTAATTTGCTGAATGAAGAAAAAATCTTTTATTTGTGATATTTTCAGAGACATTTGCTCTAGTATGGTGTATTTAAATAATAAAAACTTAAAAGAAAAAATATTCAATGGAGTTTGGGTTTAAAAACTGCCTTTTCTTTTTTGTGTTTTGGAAAATTTTAGTGTTTTTGTTCTATACCAAGTTCACTTTAAAAAATCTTAGGGGGTCAAAGGAGGTGGTGCGTATGTTTTATTTAGCTCTGAGCCAATAAGGTATTCTTCAAATTACTTAACTATGCCATTTTTGGCAGGGTTACAAAGACATGTTTCTAAAGGAGTCCTTTTTATAAGTTCAGAATATTCTGTTAACAGCACGTCATTACACTTCTATATCACAGTGAATCTTTTGTGTTTATATATATATACATTTATTTGATTCTTCAACTATTTCATTTATTCTTTTTTCTCAATAGGAAAGCCTTGGGTATTGATGGAAAGCATGTTAAAGAATGTGGCATAACCATCTTGTTCTCTTACCAAGTTTATAGCTTTTGAAGGAAATAGCAGTTCTAAAGCATACCTGTTCAGATTTTGAAGTTCCATTAGTTGTTAGGAACCCTGCGCTCTCTCACGGTCGTCTTTGATGGGTGAAACTGCCATTTTTTGCTTAGCTTTTAGTCTCGTGATCTGCTGTATGATTTGTTTATTTTGTCTTTTTCTTACACTCCTGTACTGACTCTGCCTTTCCATATGTTTGGGGGAGGATTTGGATTTCATTTAGTAGCACTCTTGAGATACTTGGTTGCCAGTTCTAGGCAGTAGAATCTCCCTACATGCGCCTGCATTGCCCGCAGATTTGTCCTGCGGAAAAACGTTTAGGGCAGGGATTCAGTGAAGTCGGGGTAGGTGCTGAAAGGAGGAACAATCTGAAAGTTGCTCTGTGAGGTTGTTGGATGTGAGCAGAACCCAACTGCAACTTCTCGCACAGGTTAATAAAGCCAGGTGTGTTCACATTGATACTTTAAGTTTTATTTTCTCTTATTCCAAAGAAAAGCTCCCATACAGACTTACCTTGTCTCTGAGAATAGGAATCGGTTCTGCAGGGAGGTCAGGCTCACCACATCTCAGCTAGCTGTCAGCTTCTCTTTGGGACCTCCTGCTTTCAGAGATTCCAGGACAAAAGGAAAAAATCAGTTTTCTAGCTGAAGACCTCCTATAAACCTCCTATGGGAGAATTTAAAGGCAAAGTTAAAGTGAATAGTTTATTAGAACTTTATAAAAAGAACATGCAGGAAAAAAGTTACATAAACAATACCTGTTAGAGTTGGATCCTTGGGGAATTTCTAGGAACTAGTTCTGGTTCTTTTTTTTTTTTTTCTTTTAGATAACTTTTAAGGGAACGTGAACTGGAGGCTTCAGGATAGAAAAGGAGAAAAGTGTTCATGAGAATGGAAGCATCTTCTCAATTTTTCTTGGCATAAGCACTCGTGTCCCATATAATATAGAAATTCAAAGGAGATAGTTAATAACTTAGTCGGTAATACAGCTGTGGCATTCAGTGATGTGGAGGGCTAAGGTCATTAAAGACTTTAAATGAACTATTATATGGCTGGTTCCTCAAGCACTGCTGCGTATTTAATAACGAGCTTCTAAAAGCATTTCTTAAGTTGCAGACCTATAAGATTACAAATGTCACTCATGTTAGTATAATCCACATGCAAGTGATGAAGCCTTTTCTTTGATGTGCTAAATTGGAGAAGGACTAATGGAGCTATGAATATACAATAGAACATATTTAAGTAGTAGTCTTGCTTTAGGTAAAACACTTCCCTTGAAACCAGAGGCATTTCAAACAATAAAACTGGTCTCTAATGGGGATGCTCTGTGGATGGAAAGCTACTGAAAACACTCAGGTTTATTCTGATGTGAACAGTGATCGTATTCCTCTCCCAACCCCAACATTGCTGGGGAAAAAAAAGAAACCCACTTGCTTGTTCACCTTTCATCACTGCATTTGATGTTAGATGTACTCTGTTATTTTGAAAGGACTTACTTAATATTAGCCACATCGTAGAGCAAGATGGCCCTAGTCCTTAACAAGCCAGTGCAATTAAAAATAAAAGCAAATGTGACTGAGCCCAGCTGAACTCCTGATTTAAAAAAAAGTTTATGATATATATATATAAATGTCTCAATCATGCAAATTGTCAATCTTGCTAATGAAACAATTTTGTAAAAAGATTTTCCTCTGAAAGAGTTTGTTTTTTTTTACCTATCTGTCTAGTTAGATTTACACAGCCTGAAAGGCAGAAGAGCCTGAATGACGCTTTTCCAAACCAAATTGTTTGCCACAAGAAACTATTTCCAGCTCTTCATGACTTATTAGGAAATAGTTTAACACAGACTGTAGTGTCTTATGAAATGAGAAAACTGTCACTGAAATGAAGCTTGTGAAATTGTCATCCTCTTAATATTTATTTAAATTCTTTTGCCCTGGTTAGCACTGATATTTGAAAACTAATAACCTAAAATGAAGTTCTTAAATGGATTGAATGTCAATATAATAAGGTTCTAATGTGCACTACTATTTATATAAAATATTTCTTGGGCCAATAAATTACATAACAGTGAATCCAAGATCTGTCTATCAAAACACTATAGTGAAGGGTTTCCAGGAAGCCTAAAGTAATTGTAAATTGAGAAGGTGTCCAAAGCCTCTTCCACCCAGGAATTCTATCCTGGGTGCTTACATCCTGTGCCTTGGTTGCAGAGGATGTGGGGACGCAGATCGTTTATAAGTTGATGTTACTTGTCGCTTTGTCACAGACTCACCTATTGTCAGTTCAGCCAAGTCACAGAAATGCTTATTGCAGCTAAATAGCAATTTGTTTCCATGAAACTGCAATTAAAGTATTACAGAGCAGCCATTTTAGATTGGCAAGGCTCTGAGTGCATGTTAAACAGCCAGCGATTCCCACTTGCAAAGTCTGGGATCTGACTAGCAGATCCCAGTGTCACACATGCACCTGTGTTGGGTATTTAGTTAAGAGGCTTCTGCAGCTCTCTGCTCACTTTGTGAACATGCTGAGAGCTATCCATGTCAGTGCTGATTTGGGGAAGGTGAACTTGCAACTTACCTCGAGTGAATACTATTTTCAATTGTACAAGGAGCGCTTTCTGCTAGTGGATAACGTACATGTTTCCGAGAGGGAAGGTTTTCAAGTTCAGATTGATTCTGTGGAGAATGGACTGTAACTCGGAAGCCTGAGGCCAATAATGTACTACAGGTCCTGACACGTTACAGCTGTGTCAACAGGGCCGTTCTCGCTCCTAAATCACAGCTAGTGAAGCAGGGGATGAAAATCAACTGATTCTGTTATAAGTTCTTTGAATGACACTAGAAAGTTGTTTAATGGCTCTGTTAGAAGGGACAAGCCTGAGAGTGGAGCTTCCTCTATACCTATTTTAATTGTTTCTCTCCCCTTTGAAACAGAACTGGACAACTTTCCTGGTTGTTTGCATCACCATCCCCGGATCAAAACCTGCAGGGGAAAAAGAGGCTCTGAACTGAATTCTTGTAAAGTTTAGATTTGTTGAGTGAAGAAGGTGAAGTGCAAAAGTTTTATGGAAAATGCAAAACCTTGATGTAAGATCCTGAGAGAGGAAAGGCTTTCAGAGGTGGTGTTTTAAAATGCAACTAGCGGTGCATTCTAACCAGCTTGGAAACCATCATTAGCTATGAGAACAGGGGGCATTGTGCCTTCTTTCAGCCTAGAAAGTTCTACCTTGAACCAAAAGGTTTATGATCTCCACTTAAAACAGTTTTCATGTGCAGTGCATCTATTTATAGGACTTTACCTGTGTTGTTTGAGCTGTAATTTTTTAAGTGAGAGGGAAACATTAAGAGTGTTTCTTCCTAAATTAATTTTTCATTGTTGGAGAATTGAATGTTTTTAGGAACAGAAAAGGGTAAATCTGAAGATGAACTGAATTTACAAATGAGGATTAATTATGAGGAGATTAATTATGAAAACTGGAAAGGAAATTGCTTGGGCTATGAATGTATGTCTTTTTCTTTATTTAAATATGGTCGGTTAGAGATGGGTGTGTTTTCGAGTCTTCATATCCTTCTAAGGCGTCTGATTAATTTCTGTACTCAGTTATGGGACTTAAACTTTCCATCACCCTTACATCTTTAAATATAATGTTTAATATAATGACTTTATCTTGGAGTCGTGCAATGCTTTGTAGATGTATTTATATGTTAACATTTACTGTTAGCAAGTTCTTACACATGTTACTTCGGTCCTTTCACTAATCATCTTGATTATTGGCTCAGTTA